TATACCTACTCGTACTAATTCAAATTTACACAAGTATTATACGCATAAATAACTAAATCATATGACACGATTGCATTCATCGAGCACGTTACGCAAATTATTCTTAATTTCAACGCGCATTGTGCGCAATTGATGTATTATTACAGAACGTGAAATATACTGCCAAACTCAGCATTCTGCTTCCATTATAAGCAAAAGATGCAAGAGAGACGAGAGGAAGCATAGCATTTCTGATATTAAGCATTTTTCCAGCATCTTACGCAATAGAATCGTATACCGTCGCACTTTAAGACGTTACAGACCGTTCATTGAATCCTTTCGATATATAGAATTGCGAGATAAATTCTTCTCCTTCCGAAGCAGGAAATGATAGTACATATATTCCAAGAATAGTTTCGTAATTTTGACATATAAATTCTATTCAAATAACTTTTCGCCTGAATTCCTAGTCTGCCCAGCCGCGATAAGAAAAAAATACGTCAATTTCATCGCTCGAATTCATCGCATAATATTCGCGGAAAAATACTGGCAAAATTGTTACCCATAACTGTAAAAAGTCATCATACATCTGTATATTTAAATTGTTTTTCGGAAAGCAAATAAATTTTAAGTATAATACAACCTGCAGAGTATGATAATACACGCGTAAAATATATAGCAATATTGAACCAAACAAAACCCTTTTACAAACAATAACTGTTTTCTAATTAACATATAGCCTCGTTACATCGTAAAAAAGCTAAAATTGCGTATGCCACGTTTATTAAACCTGCTAGCTGGAGAAAATAAAAAAGTATGCAGCGCGTAGGGAAATAAAATTCTTGAATATAATAAAAATATTGAATCATTTTCCGCTAACCGAAGCAGAATGCAGGCGCAAAAAGAACACAGCTATTTTTAATTTTGATAAAATAAATGTGGAAAGATGAAGCTATACAAGAAAGACTTGCAAATATTTGCAACTATACTTTTATGCACATAGTAAAGAAAATTATGTTCAAGGGTTCACTTCATAATAAATAATTTAATAAGAATAGAAGATACCAATACAAGAAATATATCTAATGATTTCAGGCTGCATAAAAGTAAGTCATATGATTATTATCGCCATTTTGATTGTTCATACAATCTTTGTATATCATAGAAAATCCCTTTTACGATTTTCACCATTTATATTTTTATTTAAAAAAAATAGATAATTATTATATTAAAACATTGACATTGAATACTTATAAAAAAAGAAGAAATTTAAGTAATAATATTTAACTTGTAAATAATTTTACGCACGTCCATTTAAGACCGATTCCTATAGAGATGATAGTATAAATATTATACAACACAGGACAATTAACAATATATTGTAAATGGTTCACTAATTAAATTGTAATAACGAATTAAAAATTCTGAGAAATCTGTATCTCTGTATATTTCGACTTTGCCATTTGTGTGATAATGTTCTGTTATGTAACAATTTGTAACAAGCGCAGAGCAGTGCCACAGCAAATAGTGTAACACGCGCAGCAGTGTACAAAAAGTCTAACAAGAGAATACGTTCCGTGCATTGCGAGCTTTATGCGTAGTATAAAGGATGCGCAACTGTGCAAACATACGCGTGCGAAAGTTTTTCAACTGTGCTTCGAGAGTCTCGATTTTTGCCTTGCAAAATGTGTCTCTCCGCGACGTACAATTCGCGCGTTCCCTAATGCTACATCGCATCGTGAAAATCTTCGATTTTTGCAAGTTTACAGGAAGGAGAGGATTTTGTAGAAAGCATCTAGCAGTCCCGACAATGCTGGTAACTTATAGCAGGAAGATTTAAAAAGCTCAGCAGACAGATATATGGCGAAATTACTATCTCGCGGTCGCTCATCTTTGAATAAATCGCAAGTCCTTAAATCCAATATCGCAAACACCAAAGTGAGAATTCCCAGATGTTCGTAAATCTAATCGGTGTACAGAGAGAATTTTTTGTTATATTTTACCCTTAAATTCACTACAAACTTGGGACAACTTGGCAACCAAGGAATTTTTAAAATATACAAAAGACATTTTACAAACAACGTGATAAAAATTACCAAGCAGATTGGTAAATTTTAAAAAGTTATTGAAATTTCTTAGATATATTTTAGTAAAATTAATCAAACATATTTTATAATTCAATGTAATAGATATTAATATTTTTTATTATGGTAAATATTAATCAGAATAGCTCGCATAAAATTCTTGGTGGTATACATGTTGTCCCACAACTACCATGATTTCAGGGTAAATTTTAAGAGAAAATTCTCTCCGTGTGTTATTCTAGTGACTGAATTCTTTCAACTATATAATAAGACAAATTGAAAAATACAATCTCGAAATAAGATTAATCAGTGAAAGTAAAGAAAATAAAAAAATTAAATATTTAAAAGCAAACATTGCTTTTTCAAAATTCGCTGTCCAAAATATATACATGTATGTGTGTGAGACGCTTAAGAAATTTTTAAGATAATTTTGTATTTCATGTAATGAATCTTGAGAAAACTCCATCGTTATACATATATCATACCATTCGAGATGTTCAACTTGTGAATATAAATAAAATATTACCAAATATTTGAATATTTGAATAATTGAAATATATGAAAAATAAATTAAATTAAATGAGTATCAAATTTATTATACACTTAACTCTTAGGTTCTTACCGCTTCCTTTTTATCGATATCGGTTGTTTATCGGACCAAAATAGCGCACGTTTACTTTAATATAAGAAGTGATTTTATAAATAGCTAACACGTGTAATTATATTTTTATAACGTCATTTTAATATGCAATATTTTGCAACATTTACACGCTGTATGGTAAACAACTTGATTAATATGCGTTATAAAATCCGTCACTTATAAGTTATTAAATGAATGATTTGGAATTCACTTTATTGATGAGTTTGCGACACGATTATCTATGGAATGCAAAGCGACATACTTTTAATTACGCGAGTTTAACTTTTAAATTTCGATAAATTACATCCCTGCTGATGACGCAATAATAAACTAATTTCCTTAATGAACGACAAAACTTCTAATTCTGCGCATCATATATGACTGTCCGAAATGGAATTTCGCCAACTATAGTTCATCATACTGTCCTAAATTCGAATTTTTGAAATGTATAACAAATTTATAACCATATACATATAAATAAATATTGTAATATCATTTTCTTAACTAATACTTTAGATTTAGATATCATTATTTATAATTCTACAGAAAAATCATGAATTCCCATATACATATACATGCACAATATATGCAGATCAGAATGAGATACTGTTTGGCCACATATATATTGCACTGAACGACTAAACTGATATCAATTCAGCGACAAAGAGGACGACACACGGATCAGATTCAATAGAATAGACGGATCAAACGCGACAGAGTTAATAACGATGACGAGGGAACTTTCATTGCCAGCTGTATTGTAGGGATATATGCATATCTCTTTGAGTACTTCAACTTACGACGTTGCAACGTCGAATATAAATTATTGTGACAGAAGGATTAGCACAAATAATGTCGCTGCGTGATTTCACTGCTCGATATACCTAATATTGTGTATATATTAAATTGAATTGTTTCTATAATATTGACATCTTAACAATATTGTTATTGTACAATTTAAAAAAGCATGGTAATACGATACCGAAAAACGGTATCGTATATTACCGTTTTTCGTTATAAAAAATTTAAAAAAATGTTTATCGTATTACTGTTTTTCAAATAAAACTATATTGAAATCAGAGAACTACAAATAAAAGCGTAGCACACTAAGATTTTAAAAATTGATTTTGCAATACTTTTTTTACACATATAAATGTATCAAACATACCGACTCAAACAATAGAATGTTTCACAATAAGCGAGATAAAATTTTCTAAAAATTCAACATATTTCAATTTATAAAAGATAAAAATAAACGATAGTAATTATTTGTTGAAATTTAAAAGTTAGGAATTATATAATAAAAAATATTATAACTATTTTCTCATTTATTTCATTTTATTCGAGAAAAAAGTAACTGCGTATGCAAAAAACGGGACAAAACTTCGTTTTTAATCCTTAAATGCGCAATTTTTTATAGTATTCTGAGAAGTTTTTAAATAAATAATGACTGCTTAAAAAATCTTAAAAAAATATTTAAAAAATTCTTTTTTATTAACTTGAATCCTTTATAGATGGAAAGGCCCTTCTGGACTTTCTCACCTACAAAGACCCTTTACAAATGTGCAAAATCACGCGTTTTCAGTTCGAAGTTTATAAAGGAAGGTGCACGGACCATCGAAAAGTTGCTTTGCATATATATGCAAAGCTGACGCACTTAGGGTTAATACAACTGAATAAACAAAGCATTTCTATGGGTTAATTGCTCTCAGAAGAAATTTTCACAAAATACGCCAAAAAATATATATGAAAGCATTTATGTCAACTCTAATTACGTATCGCCCGTAATTTTATAAAATTCATATTCACATAGAAACTGGAACATTATACTGCTTTTTAGCTTACTCAATTGAGGTAAAAATATTACCGCTCTCTCAGTTTTGTGCAAAAGCATATATAAGTATACAAATATAGACTTAAATTTAAAAGTTTAAAAAAATTTTACAAGACTCGCGGAAAAATTGTGTAATTTTTAATTGTTCATCACAAATCCATATTTTAATATTTTGTAAAACAAATTAGTCCATTTTTATTAAAAATTTAATTTTGTACCTCCGCATACATACTCACTCAAAAATATCGTGAGAATGTTAGAACCGTTACAATTAAGCACCAGTTCCTTGTACGCTTGAATTATCTGACGTAGTATAACAAAAATAAAACTTCAGACTTTTGAAGCTCTCGCCTAATTCGCTCGTGCGTAAAGCCACGGTCCTAGATAACGGAAGAGTGGCAGTCTGTCTTGTACATGTACGGAGTTTCGTGATACCGGATAATACCGTAGGGCATGTACTTACATACTACGGTGAGATTCTTCGAGACGGAGGCCGTGGAGAAGGTCGGCGCGTCTGCCGTAACTTCGCAGATGAATGTACCCGAGAGGCCAAAGTCGACATTGCGAAGCGTTACTTGGCTCTCGTTCGAGTTGTCGGACTGAAACACACGACCGCATAAGATGTACAGAGCGAATGTAAGTATACCTGCGTATCAAGTGCGGCGGCCTAGCTTATTATACCGCGGCGAAATCGTAATGTCATTTACATGCGAGTAACGTAATTCGATATAATCTCATTTGTTGAAAGACGTTACACATGTTGAAGAGATTAGATATATTCGCATGTCGTAATTCGATGGCTTTGTATAATTACTATAATCGTATTAATAAACATAGACTTGACGCTAGCGATTTTATTAGTTCGTATATATAACATTTTGTATTACATTATATTTTATATATTTTGTGATTATTTTTTTAACTTAATATCAAATATGTAAAGATTAAATATATAAAAAAATACTTAAGTTCATTGGTAATGACTACTTTTTTAGATTTCTCATAAACATAAAGTTAAAACTTTTAAAAAGATGCAGTGTTCTTTGTTCCGGCAAATATTCCATGAATATCCTATATAGCTCTCATTGCGTTGAAGGATGCCTGGTCCACTTGAGGGAACAATCACCTTATCAGGAAATTATCCGGCACTCGACTAAAGTGGCTCCGGAAAGCCAAGCTGGTAACGGAAGTAGAGATAAAGCGACTTCGCGATGGCGATAGGAGCCAAGTAAAGAAAGGTTTAATCGGAATAAGCAAAACGAAGCATGCATAATTAGCCGTGCTTATATAATGAAAGAGGAAGAAGCACAAGCGGAGATGGGCCGGTGACCGGGGCGAGAAAAAGGGTGAATTGCAAGTTCTTTGACGAACGGGAAATAGCGTGAAAGGCAAGTGAACGGCGCTCTCTCTCTCTCTCTCTCGTTGATTTATGCGGACAAGGGCGCGGAGTCCCCGGCTGACTTTACAGAAGCAAGGACAAAAGCCCGGCACACCGCACGGGAGGAATAAATATGAAAGCATAGCACTCTCACTCGACGCCACCTAGGGAATAATTTCCGACGTGTAGCGTCTTGTCGTTCTCCTCCCGAGTCGGAGTCCCGACTGGCGATGACACTGATACTCTCGCGCGAGATATCCAATATTTGTGGCGTATATGAATCGATCATTCGCAGACTACTAATGTACAGGATAACAACCTCGCGCGAAACATCAATTCTGTCGGACAAGCGCCAGCAATCCGTCATATGCATGAAAAATTAATGAAGCGTCAAAATTATTCAATCAAGATATCGAATGTATCGAATGTAAGAGGAATATTATGGATAGTAATTGGATGGATCATGGAAAGTAATTATTTATCAGCAGATCTCTTCTTTCTATCTTCTTTTGTCTCTGTAAAATTATATAAAAGCGTTTCTCCTGCAAAATATACAAGTATACAATTGTTATAAAACTAAATCCGTTATTTCCCGGAGCTAATAATAATTTACTTGCGATCACTATTTTAACGATCACCATTTTCCTCTCTCATTTGTAATTTTAAAGAACACGTCTTTGACACAAAGTCATTATTTGCGGCTTCTTTTATATCTAAAGAATTCGATCATGCGGTAACATGTCGATTGCGATAGATTGCCTTTTTTATGGATCGTTACTTGTCCGATTCTTGTTTGAATTCCTACTAGAATGGTTGCGACGGTGTCAATATGCAGCTGAAAGCATGATATCTATACCTCCCGAACGAGCGTCAGTACTTGGTTTGGTCGAGAATTGCAAATAGATATTGGGAACGAACTATCGCGACTTCGGGCCACGGCATTGTGGAATAATAGGTCAACGCTCGCAGATCGTACGTCGGTCTTTTTGCTCGCTAGCCCACTCTCGCTCTTTGTCTTTGACAAAATTTCAGATAGTCAACTAAATTTTGCTGTTTTTAATGTGAATATAAAAGAAAATCAATAATACCAATAATTTACGAAGTCCGATGCAATGGAACGCATAACGAAGCACGTTAATATATTAATATGCGTAGTACTGGGCTTTATACTTCATCATGAGCGCGCTTTTAACATACCGCATAATATTCCTGTGTTGCAACACCTGCCTGAGCGGCGGCGCTTTGTTGACTCGCGTAAATGTTTCGTCGCTTTGACTCCACAAACGCTGAGTCGAATTGGTTAACTCGATGTTTAGCACTTTCAACATACGTAACGTAGAATTTCCGCGTACGTGCAGAATCCCAACAATAGCTGTGTATGTGTGTTCTTTACTCGCATATATAGAATAATATGTGTTGTACAAAAAGTTTCCGCATGCTGATAGAGACCGCACGATAATTCACGTTATCGTAATCGCGTAAACGCGAAATAATATAGCACGGCAAAAAACAACGAAGTGAAAATCATTTTTTCCAACCCCCTCCGGACACGTGTCGCCGCGAGCGTGCTAACGATTCATTCCCCAATATAAAGGATTTATTAAATAAAACATATCCGGTGTAACAGCTAGAGTATTGCGATATTAACAAACCACGTAAAGGTAACGCATCAAAATACTGCCAAACGTATTTCCGATATAGATATCCGACCAGAATATGCACATAGCAAATCAAATATCAGTCCGAACAAGCCAAGTAATAAAACAATTTTTTTCGCAGTCTTCCCTCTGGGGAAAACAAACGGGGGCGGGGAGGGGGGGACGGACGTATTTTTCGAAATCGAAGCTTTTATACCCCTCACGGCGCGGTGCCATTACTTCCCGTTCGTCACCGGAGAACCGACCGCGCGTGTACCGTTGTTTCGAAACGATAAACGTAAACGGGAACAGAGGAACGTGCGGCGCGTTGTCACGGTTTGTCAGGTCGTTCATTCGGCTGTATACCGGAACACAACGGTACCGAGGGGGCTTGTTTTTGGCGCAGCGCGTGTGCAGGCGGCATAGCCCCGGATTGGCGGTCGCCGCGCGCCATCCCGCAAACCATCGCACCCAACGCGTGTAACAGCCTACGGAAATGTTCGAGCGATGATAAAAGCACCCGTAGACCCGACTGTTTTACGGCGATTACAGCGGTCAAGGATGCTGTTAACGAGACGCCACCGCGGCAACCTGCGGTTTGCGTTACGGTGATCCGATAGAACCGCATATTTCGTTGTTCGCTAACCCCCGCCGATTTGCGTGGCTCGACCTGAAAAAGATAGCCGCAGTTTCGCAGACTCGTTGGGGCACATGCAAAAGTGTTCCAATTAACAAATGTCCCACCCTCCCTCTCTCTCCCCCAGTCAGTGATCCGTGGCCGGTCGTTAAGATCTCGGGCGCATCCTTCTTTTTAACGATGCGCATGTTCACATCAATGTTTTAAAGGGATAGGATTATAGCAGATGTTGAGAAAAAAGGGGTAAAAAGAAGAGAAAAAGATTAATATGATTTATCAATGTGGACACAAAGAGTGGGGCTGATACTGAATATATTGGAACACGATTATGCTTTTCTTAAATCCTTTTACATTTTCTTATCAATGGATTTATAGTAGACTTAATATCTTAAGCTAAGAAGAAAATACGCTCGACAAAAGTCATCCCTCAATCATGGAATATTTGCAATATGTGGAATATCATTAAAAAAAAAGGTACAATGTAATTTAATATGTCTAATTAGTAAAACCAATTGACAAAATAATAGAAAAAAATATGAAAATATTTCTTTCGCATGAAAAAAAAACAAATAAGTAAAAAATATTCAAGCACATTTAATTATTTATATTATAGCCATTACAAATATGTATATCATATATATATATAGATATATTTATACCAGATATTCTCCCGCACATTATGTATCTATATATTTGGATTACATTATTTTATTTTATCACATTTTCTATGTATATGTGAAATTACTGCTCATCGATCCACTTTCAATTTACATTTTGGTAATTATATACCAATATATTATCTGTACCAGAAATGGCTCATTTTATATTTTATTATAAAGTTTATTAAACGCCAAATATTTGCCATTTGGAATTCATAACATCGTTCATGTTATTAAAATTTTCACGTTAATGAATTCTATTCATATCCTCAATTGAAAAAATTGTATTGCAGTTTTTATTAACCAAGAATTATACTCATAAATAATGTAGCTCTTTCTTGTAAGAATTATAAAATATATTAAGAGAGATAAATAAATACAAATTTATTTTAGACTTTAACAGATTTTAAACTTTAGAAAACTATGTAAAGAAAATTAATTCTTTGTAATCAATGTTATTATGCAAAATCTTTGACGAAAATGTGTTACTTAAAAATACTTAAAATGTTAATCTAAAAGTATACTCATGCGTTTGTTTATACATATATATTTACAATTTTATACTTCATATTTGTCTCGAGAAAATAATAATATACATATGTGACAAATTAAATTGTTCTCTTTGTACGTTATTTTTTAATATAAAATTGTATTAAAAAAAAAAGTATAATATATACTATTATATGTTCTATTATTGATTACAGCCTTAAAAATACGTCAGCAATACGAGAATTCATTCTAAATAAATGTAAAACGTTATCTCGTTCAGTCACTTACGTCGACATTAATCCCAGAAATGTTGAAGACTTTGGTGGATGGTTCCTCGGTGGGCGAGAATCGGTAGAACTCGTGCTTGCCCCGGTACCACTTGAGGGAGTAGAGTGGCGCATTCTCCAGATCATAATGGCACCGCAGAATCACCTTGTCGCCACGTTGCACCACTTCCGGAACCATCTCTAGGCTGACCTCCCGCAGACAGCTCGCACCTTTCAGGAAAATGAGAACAGGAACACAAGGCATTAAGTCTAGTGCGCATCATTAGTTCGCTTTTAGTCGTCGCGCGAGAGGTTGCACAGCACGCGTCAGCGAGAAATTGCAATTCCGCCGAATGACAATTTCCCCTCGTCCTCCCCTCGCGCAACCGCTCTCGCAACTATGCATGCAACCGCAAACACACGCACGCGCGAGCTCTCACGTCCACGCGCGCGGCCACGTATATCTATACATATACATATATTAAACCCCAACCCCATCTCTCGTATCTGAACCATTTTCGCGTAACCCATACGAGGTGCTCTGCAAACTAACCCTCACGCTCGAACGAACGCGGTGTTTTTTGCTGAAACTCCGTTACGTGAGGATTATCGACGATTCGACCTATTAAGCCGCAAGGAAGCCGAGCTTTGGATGGCGTTTGTATTAAACCAGAATGAGAGAGGGAGAAGAGGGAGGGGAGGCTGCGACTCCTTGGTGCAGAATGAAGCTCTTATTACGTAGTACCTCCGGGCTATACGGAAATGGGTATGGGTCTACAAGCCGCGAATGGGAACAAAACTCTGCGGGGTTACTTCCCTCCTCAGAAGCATCAGGAACATATGCCACGTTATACGTAATATTTTAGAGAAAATATGGCACTTTACCTACTACGGACGATGCGCGTTTTCACGCCCGCGCGGAAGTTTACACGTCAACGAGACATGTAAATCTTTCGTCACATCCATTCAATTTATTATAACATTTTGATAACCTGTTCGTAAATATACTACTGTACTTGTGTGTTTCGTGTATTAGATATTAAACTGTTACGAAAACGTGGAAAAATATGTTTCCAAACATGATTGATGATTGCAGTTTCATCCGATGCATTAAAATGTAATATTTTTTGTACGTCTTCAAAGTAAATTTTATCTCATTTTTTCGTATTTTATGCTATTACAAATTGGGTGCGATATATTTCAATATTTTATAGCATTTATTTTTCGCAAATTGGACAAAGATTTATTATCTAAAATGTGATATTTTACTGCATTATAATGAATATTATGAAATTATAATTATCGTAATTTATTTTAGTGAGTTTATTGTAATATATTGTACATTCTTTATTATAATAAATTTGAAATAAATATTTTTTATCTTTTATATACGTAATAAACTTTATGCAATTATAATTTTATTATTCACTTCCCCTTCATTAAATCATAATAATATGAGTAAAAAGTTAAAAGAGACTTTTAAGTTACGTTATGTTTTGAACTTTTTTCGAACACTGATACTTCTTTTCGTCCCGTCTCCTAAATTTAATATCGTATACAACTTACAAAACGCCCACAATTATACGTTGTGCAAGTAGGTTAAATAAATAAATAACTCATTTTTTTGAGCGGCTTATACGCGGAATGAGTTTGCTTAAATAAGAAAAGCTGACCGCGTTTAATATTGTGCACATGTTACACCGAATCCTCAGAAATGAGAAAGAAACAGACGGTACCACATGAATCGTGCCACACAATAAGAGCAAGAATGTTTACATAGAAAAAATATTATTAACATAACATAATGCAGCAATGATGAAAATTAACACAAAGCCGAACGTACGATATATGTTATTAAAGTATAAATTAGAAAATTTTATATATATGTATATTAATATTGCATATATGTATTACATAATAATTAATTCTTAAGAAATAAATTTCTCCAAATATAAAAAATTGTCATTCTAACTTATACATAATTATAAATTATTGGAATATCAAAGCAATGAGAATCTTGTAAATCGAATACTTATAAAAGACCTTGTAATAAAACTTTCGAATCGTCTTGTAAACAATTTTACAGCGTCGCGTCACAAAGCGTTTTTCATACAGTCTTGAAAAGTGTCAGTTAAGTTCCTTGATGGCAAAAAGATGCGAATTTCCACGTTTACTACGAATAAGACTCGGAAAGTTGAGAAAGCTTTTTCCTGCTTAATTTTCGTTTGAAAGGCATCCTGAAAAATGTGGACCGACGTGATGCCAGTTCTAAGTTTCCGGAGACTTCTTTTGAAGGACGCAATACTCGCGTCCCTCGCGTTCCCCTTGCGCGGTTAGTTTCGTGCTGTACTGCCCGACGTATCTACATTTAAACTCTCAGGACCCCCAACTAGTTTCTATGCCCGGTAGCGCCACTTCTTACAACTAATTATTCGTAAAGAAAGCTAATTTAACGAAACACTTAACGTTTCAGCAATTTTCTTTGAAAGAAGGAAATGCGCTACGCAACACGAAATTACCTCGCTCGCCGACGTCAATTGGGACGATGGATTTTTATACTTTCATAAAGGCGCTCGTTTCTGAGAGCGGTAGAAGCCAATACGATGACGGTAGTATATTTTATGAAGTAAATAAAGTCAGTCCCTTCCCCATCCATTCTATGTCAGCTGTATAGAACATTTAGTATTTGTAATTTTTAAATTATAAGAAAAAAATAACTTAAAATGAGCTTTTGATAACAGACTGAATGAAAGAAATACTTAAATTATAGCAACGGTAAATGCGAAATTGCGAGTAAATAACATTTTTATGAAACGGCAAGGTATATACGTAAAAGCATATTCATAATGGATTTATATTTTGAAACTGAAGAGCTTTTGTATGTTACGAGATAGCCGGGATAGTACATGAATAATAAATACATAGAATAATTTTTATTTTCTTCCAATAATTAGCAAGTAGACTTTCTGATGAGAGGTGGTTGCGTTTGTTCTTTTCGTTCGCCGCCATCACCCCATCGCTTCCCCGCTTTCCCCAACTTCAAAATTTATAACAAAGTTTTAACAACTCGTCTTCCTTGTGTTGCGAGTAAAGAAAGTCAGGGATCCATCGAAAACATCGGAAGCAGCGTAACGAAGAGAAATGTGAATTTGAATGCAATTAGCCTTTAACGTTAAAATTCTGGGTAAATAGCAATATTTGACCGTATAAAGAATAATCTTAATAGTTTGTGCAGTTTAGAATGCCAAATAATGATAAAATCAAATCATTTGAATATCACAAATTCAGAATAGATTAATCAGTGTTTTGTAAAGATTATTATTATTGTAACATATTTCTCAACAGCCAATTTGATTTTTGTGAAAACCGGTCGAGTTTCAAACAAATTTATACCTACTTACATTATTACTATGCATTTATATCTCTTGTATATACTATTTAACTGTTGTTATTCAATATAATGCTAATATAATCAACTTCAGATTCAAGAGTTTGCAAATTCATGTTTGTCGAAAATATCAACAGAGTAATATAACATGATACAACGAGCGAACAAGTCATAAATGAACGCCCAGTTATATGGTAAACAATCACTTGCGATAACTTGATTTGTATTCAGTTTAATGTATTTACGTGAGAAATACCGGTTTACATTAATATCGATTAAAGATTACTCGTTATACTATCGTTCGAAAAGTATCAATTATGATTAATCAGCGTTCCATCAAAAACTGATATTTTAGTCGGTTTAAAAAATCTGGTTATACGAACGTTGATCAAAATATTGGGTGAAGTTACACGTCCATTGCTAATCTCACATTTGAAAAAGTAACATTGGGTTTTTCCGGCCGCTGCAAACAGATTTGATTGCAATAAAATTAGTCGATTTGACCGAACGGAAAGATTATCCTGGAAATATCGTTTAAAAGTAAAATCCCACCTATGATATTTTTCACGCGGGGGTATTAAACGGTGCAATCAACGCGAGTAAAACCATTTTCGTTAAATACGATCGACGCGATTTGCGAAAAGCCGTTTTCGACGGCTTCAGCAATGAGTTTTGCGGTACAGATGCGGACTGCATGGGCATGCGTCGCGGCTCGGCCATCCCGGTATAATTCCAACACGATTCCCTCAGCGTTACTGTCGCGGACGGACCGTCGCGTCGCGCCGCGTCTGTACACTGCACCGCCCGCAAACGCGCCCCGGACAAATTAAGTTCCACCCCGTAACTGCGAACAGCTACGATCAGAATTGCAAAGTCCCGTGTACGCTCTTTTCTCTCGTGTCTCTTTTCCCTCGCCCTGGTATGCGGCCAAACCTGCGAGACGCTTCGTCACGAAATGCACTTCGCGACACATTACGCGTAGTACAGAAATCAAAGAGGCATTCGCGACATAATAGATTGTACGCGGTTCATTTTTCCGATGCAACCGCTAAGCCAATTGCAATTTATGTTTAATAAAACAGTGACAATCATAAAGGTATTGCATGCTTTTTACTACATTCATACTATGTTAGTGCTTATAAAATAATTAACTTTGATTTAAATTACAAGACAATGTAGAGAATTTCTCTCTTATATAAACACGAAAATAATTCTCTCCTAATATTTTGATATATTATACGCATTTGAATCTTCATCTGTCTCTCAAATCACTTGGCTGCAACAGAAGCTTGATTGAAAATAAAAATTTTATGATTTGAATCTATATCTTTTTTAACAACTTCTTTTTCCTATAAATGATAAAAAGTAGAAATTATTTTATCTGTGATCAAAAACTTAGACGGTTTAACTCGGTTTACGTAAAATAATTTACAATATTTATATAAAAAGTATTAAATATAATATAATAACATTTATATAATTTAATTAATTAATTATTCAACATAATTAAATAAAGAACTTAATTAGATGAATTTGAATTATTTCGTTCAATATACCATATTCCGTAACGAGATCTATTATAAAAGTCGTTACAACAGCACATTCGCAATTCGAATTGCGCAATTTATTTTATAATTAGATTTAAATTGAATATATGGTTTATATTTTATATTTGAAATATGCGCCCCTGATGCCTATTTCATCAAAAACATTTGATTGATGTTTTATCACGGTTTTTTTTATCATGAAATAGACGCCCAATAAGGAAAAGCAGAAATAAAATTTTAATCAACTAAAAGAGAGATGCGGCAAACTACAAAGTAGAATAAGAAATGAAGAAGTA